CAATCAATAATCAATAGCCATTGCAGGGCCAGAGTATTCAAATCGTATTTGATGACTAGACTCCATACCGGTGACATCATCATCATTATCATTATCACTATCACCACAGCCTCAGTAAACGCATTTCACGTTTCCACAATACTTTTGACGCAGATAATTTTGGGATCAATTCCATACTTGTCGATATTGAAATTTTTATAAATTAAGTCTTTTTACGTAGTTGAAAGCACTTTAGCAATCTCAGTAATTTCAATCTCCTTAAAAAATTACTTTTAATTATTCCTTTCAAAACCGAATTTTGGGTAATAATCCACTTAAGAAGACAGGTCATTTCAATAAAATTGCATTTGAGTTGAGGATGGCAGCCATCATTAGATTTACACGCTTATATGATAATGAATTCAATACTCGCATAAAACCACACCATCTCATACAACTGTACGATAAGTTTTGCTATTGAAAGAGTTGGCACTCGTCTTTGCTGCCACGATGATGGCAGCTGGTCCTTCGGAGGGAATTACGGGGTTGGGATCAGTTGTCTCGACCAGTTTGGCGGTCTGCTCATCCTCTGGTCGCTTGATAATGCCCATGCGCTGACCTATTCGACGTAGCTTGTTCATCGCCTCCTCTTCCATGAGCTTGAAACACATGGCGAAGAAGGAAAGGCCAAGGGCGACGTAGAGGATCAGCGCTATCATCTTCTCTTTGGGATTTTCTGAGTCGATCTTCGTACCTGTTGCCGGAAAAAAGATGACTTTAGATAGGCGAAATTGAGGAGTACGAGGATCAAATTCTAAATCGGTAAAGCAAATCAATTGATGTCTTTTTATATCAAGTGGCTGGCTTTATGATAGATATCATTAACCCTGTAGCTGACTGCGAATTTCACAGAGGGGAGGAACATACAAGTCCCAAAAGTCTTGGGGTGGGGGGGGGGGGGGGGGAGGACAGAAGAGTGATTCACAGATGTAAAGGAGATAGACAAACACAAGGGTAGAGAAAAGGTAAGGTAAGGTGAGCACTATGGTAGTAGTCGAATTCAACATACAGTAGGGTGATGGTAGTTTGAAGTGAGAAGTCAACTGCCTGCTTATAGGCTTTTTTGCCGTATGAGTGTACCTTGCCGATGGTGTAGCACGTGGAGGTAAGTCTATCGCGCACTCTCTTTAATGAATATAATACATCGGTAATACGGATATGTTGATTTCTTCAAGAAAGAGATGCAATGGTGGGACATGACTGATTAGAGATGAGAAATACCGTTTATTTGATGATTTTACGTATTCTAATGTATTGTAGTCATCATAATTGTCTGTCGTAGCTTCTAAACACTCCACTCATTGTCACCAACTGTTTTAATTGAACAATAGGGGGGACAAAATTCAAATGTTGACCTTTTCCAACAATATGGTTTTCTTACTTTGCTTTCCATATACAAACAAAAGGGAAGTCCACTTATGCTTAGTCACATGACTTATTTTTTTTGTAAAGATAAGTAGTGGATAGGAGAATTTTCTAGTCTAGTTTTCTTTGTTTGGAAGTCAAATCTGGCATTTTTGTCGTAGTTGAGAGAAACTCGCAAGCGTCATCTCGTATGCACTAGAT